CAAGTGGGAACACGGGATCCTCCTCTGGTAGTGCCCAGTATCTCCCTGCCCACAGCACCCAGATCATGGTCAAAGCTTCAAACAAACCAACTTTCCACCATGAGGGTGAGGCAGAGAAGGAGCCCTGCAGCTGCAGGTGCTGGACATGAACAGTACAGATCTCAGAATCACAGAATTAGATGAGTTGGAAGAGACCCACAAAGATCATGGAGTCTGCTGGTGGCTACTGCAGCAGTGGCTAAACCCCAGGGTGGCTTGGGGTGCATGGGGCACCTGCATCCTGTGTCATGTCCCACTGATGAAGCCAGTGGTCCCAGTGCAACACCAAACAGCCCTGTGCTCTGTGGGATCTGCTCCTGCTGGATGCTGCTGAACCAAAATAACTCCCTGTTTTTCCCAGCTGGTGCTGAGCTGGGATGCATTTGAGAAGGCGGCTGCAACACTGTGACAGATGGCCAAGAAAGCAAATACTGTTTTTTATGTCACCTCCATGTTTCCTCCTCTGCTGTCTCCTGCACTGGAGGCGATGTTTGGAGATGGGTTGCGCTGCCAGCACATGCCAGAGCCGAGGAGATAGCAGAAGGTGGAGCAAGGTGTTGGCCACCTCGCAAACATTTCTCCCCCAGCTTTCTGATGCATTTTGACCTTCATCAAAGCTTTCTCCTACAGAAATTTATGCCAAAGGTGGCTCAGAATTGGGCTGATGCTTGAGTGGAGTGTTTGCTCTTACAGAGCTTCCTGATTGTGAGCCCTGTTCAAAACCTCCTGCAGTGGTGCTGGCTCAGGCTGGGGTTTTTTTGCCCCCAAGAGCCAGATAAGCCAGGAAAGCTTGGCCAGGGGATTCTCCCACCAGCTGGTGACCAGTCCTGGCTCTTCTTCTGTGGCCTCAATGCCAGCTGCATGTAAAGACGATCCTGAGCAAGTCAGAGCTTGGATAAAAGTCTTTCTGAAACAAGGCTGGGTCAGACAGGGCCTAGAGCAACCTGGTCTAGTGGAAGGTGACCCTACCCATCGCAGGGGCTGGAACTGGATGGTTTTTCAGGTCCTTTCCAATGCAAACCATATCATGATTCCATGAAACTCCTTGATGTGCTGCAGCCTCTCCTCCCCCTTTGCATTCAGGATCTTTGGGCAAGAGACCTCTCTCCTCCCCTCCTGGGGCACAAACATCATGGCAGTGTTGTGGAGGGCTGGACTGGTGAGAGATGGAGCCCTGGATCCCTGACAAGCAGAAAGAGCACACTCGAGCAAGAGAAGGGAGGAGAGGGAAGCTGGTGACTATGAACTGCTGTCCCTTGTATTGTACCTTGGAGGAAGCAGAAATAGCCAGCACAGGGACGCAGGCATGAACCTACCAGCCCATGTGGGTGGCTGCTGCCCCACACTTGGGCTCTGTTCCCTGGCAGGAGGAGACACTTCTGCTGCCAGGATCCAGGTCCTTTCTCAACCTGCCTGGTGCAGAAGGAGTGATGGACATTGCTGTTGGCATGGCCTCTACCTGCCTCCTGTTCTGCCATGTTGCACTTGGCAGTTCTCCCCCTTCTCCCTCTGTTTTTCCAGTAGGAGAGCTCACAGTCCTCTGCCTTAGCAGTGAGTAGACAGACAAGAAAGGCTGGACAGATTCATGGCCTTGAAGGCTCTCCTGTCTATCCCTGCCTGTAATGAATGAAGCCTCCCTGAGTTCAAGGATCGCTGAATTCAGACCCCTGAATTCAAGGACACGGTATTGAGCAGTGGGGATCACTGGTGTTTGAGGCACTTTTCCTAAGTGTCTTGATTTGAAAAGACAGGTGTCTCCTAAGGAAGGCAGGAGCCTCCCTTGAAACAGAAAATGTAAACTCTCTCCCTCTGAATTATTATAAATTTTAAATTAAATGTGAATAGCAGTTATTTATTAGGGAAAAAAATAAAAGAACAAATGAAAATGAAAATGCAGTAATACAAACGAACAGTGCCAGAGTCAGAACATGCCCTGACCCCCTGTGGGTCAGGGAGGTGGCAGCAGCCCCATCCCAGGGTGGCTCAGCCCTCCTGCAGTGCCAGCTGTGCTTCTGCTGGAGCAGGATCCTGCACAAGGGGGGAGTTTTCCTCTGGAGCTCCAGGGCTGGGGGAGATGGGCCTGGGCTCCTCTGGGAATGCAGTGGGGAAGAAAGCTGCTCCTCTGGGAATGCAGTGGGGAAGAGCTGCTCCTCTGGGAATGCAGTGGGAAGAAAGCTGCTCCTCTGGGAATGCAGTGGGAAGAAAGCTGCTCCTCTGGGAATGCAGGGGGCAAAGGCTGCTGTGCTGTTCCCAGGTCAGATTGTATCCAGGTAGGAATGTTTGGCTCCTCCCCTGGGCAGAGCCTCTCCCCATGGATGATGGAATTTTCTCAGCCATGCAGGGACACTCAGTGGCCATGAACAGCAGAGATCTCCTGGAGGGAGGGTTGGCTGTGGGAGAGATAAAGAAAAGTGCCCCACCTGGTTTTAATAGGTGGCCCAATTAACAGAAGATAACTGTCCCCTTTCTGACAAATGGCAATGGGATATACACCCCCAGCCACATCTTGCATTTCTAACCTAAGACACTAAGATAAGAGAAACTGAGTTCTGAGAGGTTGATGGAAAATCAGTGTCACTTGAGGTGACAGAGTTACTAACTGGTTTCATTTCCATTGTGAGCTGGGAAGCCCCTGTGGGCTTAGGGAGCCCCAAAGGGCTCAGCACAGCAGCCTCCAGGTTCCCAGCCCTGAGGAGCAGGAGACACAAGTGAAGGGTGAGCAGCTCTGCTTTGGACTGCTGTGCTAGGCTCTGCTTGCTGCCTCCTTAAAACCCTCTAGGAGCAACTCAAGCCCCATTTAGAGATAGCTCAGGAGAATAAAGCAATAGAGACAGTGGTGGGCAGATAGGGAGGTGACACAGGACAGACGTACTGACAGGAAAATTCTGTGGAGAAGCAGAATAAAGTATGGAGAGACAGAGACGAGCTGGTCAGCACGCACACACTTAGGCCCAGCCTGGAGCAGGAGCATTGAAATATAAATTACTTTCGATTTACAGATCCAACATCGTCCCTGCTCCCCCCCAGGAGCCAGACTGGGATGTTCCCTGCCTGTCTTGGGTGACTCTGTGGAGGGAGCAGAAGGATGCTGGCACTCTGTGTCACAGGTGTGTGGGGGGAACAGGGATGCTCTGAGGCTTTGGGAAGGCTCAGCTCCCTCATCCTCTCTGGACAGCAGAGGCCTGTAACTGTGGGCAGCGGGCTCATGGTTAAACACACTCGGCTCTCACCACTGCCCTGGGTCACTCCACAGTCATGCAGGGGCTCAGAAACAGAGCTTCCTCCAAGTGGCAGAAGAGCCCAGAAGGTATTTCAGACCTCCCTAGGAGAGCCTGATCATTATTCTGCAGCATTATTCTGCTGTGCAGGAAGACATAAGTGGTAGTGCAAAAAAGCAATTCCAGCCCACGTGCTGTAAGAGCAAGGCCCCAGCATCTGCAACAGGTGCCAGGGAGAAGGAGCTTAGGCTGAGCTGTGCCTGGAGCCAAAACCCTCCCTTGAGCTGTTCAGTGGCTGTGGAGGTCTCCCAGCCTTCAGTGGGCCCTGGAGGTCAGCCTCCTGGGCACAGGGCGTGGAGCAAGATCAGGGATCACTGGGATGTGCCCCTAGATGATGAGTCCTTTGAGAATGGGGCTGTGAGGACACAGAGCCTGGGGACAGCACCCAGATCTTCATCTTTCTCCACCCTGCCACACACAAAGGGCCTCAGGCCTAGAAGAGGTAAATACCACTTGTGCATCACTCTTCAAGAACTAGAAAGGTGGAACTGAAAAGAGATGATGAATTAGCAGGTGTGATAGGGATACATGCCAGTATTTTTGTGCCATTCAGGATCCTTGTTTGTTTGTGGAACCCAAGCCATTTACAGACTCCATGTGGGGCGAGAGGCCCTCACTAAGACCTCCTCACTAGCACTTTTCAGCTGTAAAACAATCCCTGATCTTCTTTTCCTGCTGAAGGAACTTGTACAAGCAGAGCCGGGCCATCCATCTCTTCCCTGTTACTCATGTGCTTCAGTAAGCAGCAGTGCCACAGGCAGTGCTGAGCCCCAAACCCTTAAGTTGGACCCTGTCTACCCATTCTTACCTCTATGTACTGCTGAGCCCTGCTGTGAGGAAGAAGAGGCAAATTCCGCACCTGTCTGCTCACCTTGGTTGGTTTAGGGCAGGCATTTTAGGACAAGATTTCCTTGAATAACTCTTCTCATCTGCCAAACTCAAATTAAAATTTTTTTCCAAGAGTCTTGAGTCTTCTCCCTCTCCTTCCTTCACATCCTCTGTTTTCTGGATCATTTTCTTTATTAAGATAAATGAGTGATAATATCATGTTGTGCATTAAACACTGGTCCTTGCAGTCTGTGAAACAAAGACCATGAGGGAACTCTGAGATTAGAGCTGTTGCTAGTTCATTTTCATTTGGGCAAGTCAGCTTTTAAAGAATTTTCTCAGAACAATTCTTTCAGACTTCCTAAGGAGCCTATAACATGAAATTATCACAGAATCACACTATCATAGAATGGTTTGGGTTGGAAGGGATCTTATAGATCATCCCATTTCACCCCCAGCCATGGTCAGGACACCTTCCACTATCCCAGTTTTCTCCAAGCCCCATCCAAACTGGCCTTGGGCACTTCCAGGGATCCAGGAGCAGCCACAGCTTCTCTGGGCAACCTGTGCCAGGGCTTCACCACTCTTATGGTAAAGAATTGCTTCCACATATCCAATCTAAACCTACCCCACTTCAGCTTAAGGCCATTTCCCCTTGTTCTGTGGCTCCAGACCCTTGTCCAAAGCCACTCTCCAGCACTCCTGGAGCCCCTCTGGGTACTGGAAGGGGCTCTAAGGCCTCTCCAGAGCAGGCTGAGTTACCCCAACTCTCTCAGCCTGCAAGCTGTGAGCCCCAGACCCAGAGAAGTCCTGGAGGGCCTGCTGTTGATACCTTTTTTTTTTTTTTTTGTGCAGGGGAGCAGGCTAGTTCTGGACTGGAAGAAGCTATTGGATGAGAGATCCCCAGCTCTGCATGATGCTGTTAGGTTCCTGCAGTGGGATCATCAATTTTTGACCATCTTTAAGATCATGCCAGTCTGCTTTCCAGGTTAAAAGGTCCTACTTTTCTGTACTCCTTCCTGGCACTTCCTTCAATGTGATGGGTTTCCCAGGAAGAAAATTCCTGCAAAAGAAGTCCTGGTGTTTTATCTGACAGATCTTCCTGTTGCTTGGAAATCTACAGGAGTCCTGAGTGCAGTGACATAAAACTACTTCTTCTTCAACAAAGGTGTTCTACAGTTGTGGAAAAGTGAAAGGAATGGCTCAATGGGTGGCTTCCACGGGGGTGTTAGTGTGGGCTTTCATCCAGCAGCCATATGCTCACAAAGCCAACAGCTCCCTCTTTCCCTCGTGGAAGCAGTCACAGAGCAGATCAGCCGAGTGTGAAACTTCTCAGCAGCTGAGTTTCTGAAGCTCAGGCAACCCTTTGTCTCCCAGAGGCTCTGGGAGTAGCTGTGTGTGGATGAGTGTCTGCAGAGCACAGGAGTGACGGGAAGGGCCCCACTGAGGCACCAAGCAGGAGAGGAGACCTTGCTAAATGGCCCAGCCCCACCACTCGTGTGCGTCATGTGCACCCAGCCCTGGCAGCCATGCCGGGAGCAGGGGGCAGACCCATATCCATGGCTTTCAGTTCCATCACCTTCAACTGGTTTATTCTAAGAAAGTCTGCCTAGGATTCATCCACCCAAAGTGTCACACTTCACAGCTTCCTTCCCACACAGAGCTTGGTTCCTTGCTCTGAATAAACATCACTTCCCTGCCTGCATCCCCACAGCCAGGCTGCTGCCTGCCTCCCCCTGTCCCCTAGAGAGGTGTGGCATGTCTAATTCATACTTGAGAGCTGCATCCTGCTGCCCACCACGTGCAGGAAAAAGAATAGAGATAAAAACTACACCAGCCTCATTGGTTTCCAATTCTAGTCAGGGCAGGCAGAGGCCTGGTACTCACAGATGGCAACACCAAGACGTTCTGTGCTCAGGGATCTGATCCCAGACAGGTTCCAATCCACTTCCCAGTGAGCAAATGCCAGTTTTTAGGGCAGCAGATGGTTTGTGGCTCCTGAAGAGTTCCCTTTCTTGGCACAGAAATGGCTGGGACTGCTCAAAAGCTCCTGAGTGATGCCCAGAGGATGGTTCCAGACTCTTTTTGGTGGTGTCCCGCACCAGGAAAAGGAGCAATGGCCATAAACTAAAACACAAGTTCCACCTCAACATGAGGAAGAACTTCTTTCCATGGTGGCTAGCAGAGCCCTGGAACAGCTGCCCAAGGAGGCTGTGGAGTGTCTCTGGAGACATTCCGAACCCACCCGGACAAGTTCCTGTGTCACCTGCTCCAGGTGACCCTGCCTGGGCAAGGGGTTGGTCTGGGAGGTCCCTTTCAGCCCCAATGATTCTGTGATTCTGTGATGTGGGTTTTGTCCCAGATGATATGCATTTTGTCCAGTTCATCCTACAACAGAAACAACTAATTTGTGTGAAAGCTCCCTGTTAGCTCCATGACAACGACGGTGTAAGAGACTCAGAGAACCTCCTGAGGCATCTCAGACATCACCACAGCCAGAACCTAAAGGCAGGTTCAGAATCCTGCTTTTAGGAATCAGGGTAATGAAGAAACTGTACTGACCCTGAACACAGAACACCATCCACCTCTGGAAAGACACTTGAGTAAGTGTCTTTAGAGTAAGCAAAGACTTTGTGACAGTGGTTCATCTGTGACATACGCAGAACAAGTTTTTCATTAAAGAGATCAAGAACTATTTCTATGAGGACTGATAGGATGTGAAAATCCAGGGAAAAACAAAGAGAGATTTGGCCACATGGGGAATGTATTTGTGGAGAGCCCAGGAAGCCCAGATACAGGGGATGACAGACTGAGATGGATGAAAGGACTTAAGCTACACCAGGGAAAATTCAGGTTGGACATCAGGAGGGATTTCTTCATGGAAAGGGTGGTCAGCCTTGGCAAGGGCTGCCCAGGGAGGTAGTGAAGTCCCCATCCCCAGAAGTGTCCAAGGAAGGATTTGACATGGCACTCAGTGATCTGGTCTGGGTGACAAGCTGGGGATTTGGCACAGGTTGGACTCGATGGTCTTAGACATCTTTTCCAGTCTGCATGGTTCTGTGATATCACCACAACCAGAACCATTAAATAGTGAGACTGAATATTTCTATCCTATTCCAATCTCTCACAGGGATAGTTGGCAATATATGAAAGCTCCAACAAGCCCCATGCTGCAGCCTCACAAACATAATCATCCAATACCCTGTGTTCTCCCAGTGCTTCAGTTATGAAAAATTCAGAGAGAACTAAATTCACCATGTTACCACTTGCAGCTATAAGCTCAATGTCAGGCCAACATAGGGCAGGCAGTGGCTCATATTTCTATAAATCTGCTATTTTAATGTCATTTAAGCCCTGAAATTTTAACCCACTTTAGCCTGACTGCAGCGTCCCCAGGCTGATACCTGAATAACTAGGGGCAACTCTTTTCTCCTCTTGCCCCTCAGCTTTGGCTCCAAAGGACACTCTGCCACTGTTGCATTTAAAAAACCCCAAAAACCAAAAAGTAACCACCAGAGTGTGAGAGATGGTCTGGCCCAGAGCTTTTAGCAGGTGTTCCTTGAGGCAGCTGTAATAATTCATTTAAATCTCATTTATTTTTATTTTAGAGGGCTTTTTAACAACACAAAAGATTTCTTTCCTGCATCTTATTAGAATTGTGTGCATATTGCCATGGCAACACATGCCCGAGATTTTTGTGGTCCAGGACCCATCTTATTGGTTATTAAATATCTGTGAAATATATATATATATATATATATAAATATATATATATAGCTTTGTTCTCCCATCTGTCTGTTCCATCTGTTTATTTCCCAGTGAAATACAACCATTTGGCTTGGCCACAGCTTTCTCCCTTTCCTCATGGGGCTGGCTGAAGGAAACAGAGATGCATCTACTGGTGGTCATGGAAGTGGTGGAGAGGAGGAAGAGGAATGGAAGACATTCATGTGGACACCAACCTGACCATCACATACATAGAAAAGTCTTCAACTGATGACAGCACCTTGTTATCTTTAACTTTCCCAGTTATCTCCCAGGTGGGAAGGGGAAGAGAAGCTCAAGAGGACTTTAGCCAACATATTCCCCATCTGCTGCTGGTGGAGCAGCAGTGTCCTGGCTGCAGCTCAACCACCGCAGGTTTGTTTCCTGCCAAAGGGTCACTGGGGAAGTGGAGTCAAACCTGTGTCACTGATCAGCAACAGGAAACATTACAACTCAGCTGCTTCCACTGACAGTCCTTCTGACCTTCCCGAAAGATAACGACCAAAGTGTCACTCCATCCCAGTGCACACTGTTCTGTGGAATGGAAAAACACCAGTAAAAAGATCTCTGTGATGAACAGATTGTGCTCTTCCCAACAGACCTTCTGTGCCACACTGACTGTGTTCCTCCTGACAGTCTCCTCCATGCTGAACTGACCCTGTTCCTCCAACAGCCCCGTGTGCCACAGTGACTGTTGCTCCCGATAGTTCCCTGCCAGGATCAGAACCCATGCCGACAGCTGTTTGACATCCCCCTCCCAGCCACTAATTCCTCCTGGCAGTGTTTGCCTTGCCTGCCCACCCCCACAGCTCTGCTGGGAGAGAGGATGTGTTCCCAGCTCCCAGCTCCCTCTCATTATTAAAGCTGTCAGTTGTTAATTATAGTGCTGCATTTCAACTTGATACTTCCCAGGGGGCCAAACCATGCCAAAAGACCAAAATTACTTCCCAGTGGAATATTTTTGGAGACTCTGCTAGACATGAGCCTGTGCCTCTATCAACTAGGGTGAGACATTACTGACTGCTCTCAGGAGATTGGAACTGCACTTGCTCTAAGACCCACACCTGCTCTTGTTACCCTTCAGAGCCAACATTCCCACTCCCTAGATGGGAGTCATGGCTTTCTTAAGGATATGAATATAAGGATATATTGCTTTTAATGATATAAAACTATTAAAAAGTGTCCAAAGGGGGACTATGAACATGTGGAAGGGTCTGGAGGGGCCACACAAGGAGCAGCTGAAGAGGAGACTGAGGGGAGACTCACTGGGGTCTGCAGCTCCTCCTGAGGGGCAGCTCTGATCTCTGCTCGCTGTGACAGGGACAGGACCCAGGGAATGTCTGGAGCTGTGCCAGGGTAATTGGGATGGAGCTCAGGGAAAGGTTCTTCTCCCAGAGGTGCTGGCACTGCCCAGGCTCCCCAGGGAATGGGCACAGCCCCGAGGCTGCCAGAGCTCCAGGAGGGTTTGGACAGCGCTGCCAGGGATGCCCAGGGTGGGATTGTTGGGGGGTCTGGGCAGGGCCAGGGGTGGGACCCGATGATTCTGTGTGTTGCTTCCAGCTTAGGATATTCTGGGATTCTCTGAATCACACAACCATGACCACCAGGCCTATGAGACCCTCACATTCCTCTCAGTGAGGAATGCAGTTCTGTGAAGTTCCAAGCAAGTAGTCAGGTCACGTGAGAGCAAACACCTAAGACACAGATGTGATGCTGGTATTCTTTAGCTTGTAGCAACATTACCCAGCCAAGTTGCCCCTTTGCCTCATGTGCCCATAGAAACCTCTGCTTCAAATACAGAAACAAGTGAACAAGTGCAGTGATCAAACCATCAAGGGCAAGAGCATGTGGGGAAAAAGGCGTAGACTGTATTACTGGGAAAGTTTTGAGGATCTTGACAGAAAAGCACCATCTCCTTTGACTGTGTTAAGTGAGACATTGCTTTGCAGAGATTCTTTTCCAGGAGAATCAGATGTGATGGGTCAGATGTGCCAGAGGAAACTTATGGGCTGGATGAAGAGTGATGCAGAAAGTACCTGCTGCTGGCACCACCTACCCATTGTGGTCACTCAAGGCCAGCTGAGCACCACAAAACACAGCTCAGCCCAGGGACAACAGCCAGGAGAGTCCAGCTGCATCTCTGCTTCTCATCCTTCTCATCTGGCTGAAAGCATTTTACTCAACATTTACAGAGAAATCACTATAAGAGAGTTTACAGCATGCTTAACAGGATGTAACTCATCCTAAAACCAACAAAAAGCTGAAAAGAAGTAATAAATGAAAATAATTAAAATAGAAACATGAAAATTGTATTGCATTGAGCTGTTAAGAACAGCCTTTGCATCAGAAGATTCAGGGTGGCTGTTCGGCTCCTCAGTGCTTTGCCAAATTTGCACCTCAGTAATTATAATTTCATCTTGAATACATATAGTTTTAATTGTGACCGCTTTTCCTGCTCTGCACTAACTGCAGGAATCACAAAAGTGCAGCAGGAGGGCTGTGTATGACTGGCTTCTTTCTCCAGCCACCTCAGTGACCCATCAAGATCCTTGCTCTGACCCCCCAAAGTCTGTGCAGTGCAAAATAAACCCTACAGTGCTGAAATAATTACAGCCCCTAATTACAGACCCAGAGGCACTGTGCAAAGAAACCAAGTACATTACTACCCAGAACAATAAAGCTCCAGTAAAGCTGCCTCAGAACATGATGCCATGCACAGAACCACTGTGGCACTTCGTGGTGATGTCAGCAACTTGAGCTCCAGGTGGTTTCACTTAAAATCAATTCTTCTGACAGGCCACTGGTTCTCAGAGAGTTTAAACCCTCAGCAAACCCTCAGAGAAACCCCTTTAAGGTATCATCCACTGTCATCTGAGTTCAATAATTTAATTCTCATTGCATGATAATCTAATATCCAGCCAAAAACCTTGGAACAGCCTGGTCTACCGGAAGGTGTCCTTGCCCATGTAGGAGGTTGGAACTAGATGGTTTGTAAGTCCCGACCCAACAATCTATGATTCTATAAATTATGCTGATATGCTCACTTTTCTTTCAGTGTATGTGAACAGTCATTTACAAAACACCATTTCCAGGACTGATAACCCCTGCCCCCTTAACCTTTTCTGACCTACCTGAACACACTTGACCCCGCAGTTCTGTGGAGGGAGTGGTTCAGGCACCTCTCTAATTTGTCATCTTTTAAGGCATAATACTAAAAAAAAGGCAGTGTCCATCTGAGAACTCCTCAGCAGTGGGTAAAGTGCATTAATTATCTCCATCTTGCATGTGACAGTAAGTGCTGTATCCTTGGAGGAGGAAGAGCAGATCAAGTGGTTCATGGTCCTTTTGAGCTTGAAAGAAAAAATATGCAAAATTACCCAGGAACACTTTAAATTAATTGCTGCCTACTGACAACGCTGGCAAAGTAGCCCTTTGCCCATCAGCATTCAGACAATTAGCTCTGTCCACTTGAGATGGTGGAGCAGCTCTGTATTTATTCATATTTTGGGTGAGTTCAAAGTGAATCGCTTCTGTGATTTATTGTCTGCACAGAAGAATCTCTACATCTCATTTCTTCAAAGAGTGCAGTCTCCAGCTCAGGGATCAAAGCACTGCCAAGGAAACAATCTCCTCTGGGGAGGGTCAGGAATGAATTTTCCACTTTGTTGGTACCTTTTGGCAGGAGCTGTCTGTGATAGAGAACCTGTCCTTAGAATCATAAAATGGTTTGGGCTGGAAAGGATCTTGAAGATCATCCCATTCCACCCCCTTGCCACCTTCTACTGGACTAAATTGCTTCAGTGCCTCACCCTGTGGAATGTCTGTCTATCGCCACTTATGCCAGAATGCTGAAGACACTATGTGAATTTTCCTCTGGAGCATCTCACCTGTGTGCCACCCCTGGCTCATCCCATGTGTGTTCAGGACACGTACTACAGCCCTTTGGCCCCCTCAGACCCCCAGCAAGGCGGGCAGTCCCAGCAAGGGGGGCTCTGGTGCAGGAGGATAGTTTGAGCAATTCCTGAGAGCACAGAAGGAGCAGTTGTCATGGATACCAACATGCAATGGGAGGATCCAGTTCAGCTCTGTTCTGCCTGTCCTCCCTTGGCCTGCCATGTGGATCTGTGGACTGTCGGAACTCAAAATGTCCCTCAGACATTTTTAGAGGTTCCAGGCCTTGGTCAAAAGCATTTTAGACCCTGGCAAGCAGCTGAAAACAGCTGTGATCTTGAGTTTGAACCATGGAATGAATTACCAACTTTGAAGGTGGAACAAGCGGTCACAGAGAGTTAGATGGTATAGTAAAAGTAGTCACAAATTAGAGGGAAAAATTTTTTAGTATTGTACAAGGGGGTTTTAGTACCTGTACAGGGGGGTTTTACTTTGTACATGGGAGTCAGGAGTTCTAAGATGGAGGAAAGTGGTCCTGATCCTGTTCTTCCTCCTTCTTCTTCCTTACCTCCATGTTCTTGGTGATGTTGGCATTTTTCTATTGGTTTAGGCTGGGGACACACTGTTCAACGTAGATGATAGATATTGGCACATTATTGTAAATCCAGCACAGGTAGTTTCTGGTATTTAATGTTTGTACCATCCCACTGAGGGGCAGAGCCCCACACGCTGCCCTGCAGGACAGAGCTGCGGCAGGGCAGCAGAACATGTTAGAGATAAACAGAATAAACAACCTTGAAAACAGCACAGACGAATTATGGCTTCTTCTTTGGCAACGGGGCAGAAAGACAGAGACTTTTTACAATCTCGGAATCACCAATACCCACAGATTCCGACAGTGGACTACCCATTCCACAGCATGGCGGTAAAGAGAACTGAAAATTAAAATCTGCATGGGAGCAAAACCGCAATATTTAAGGGCAAAGTCCCCAGCCTTTCCAATCAGGACAGCTATTCCCAAATACACAAAGCCAGGACATACTTTGGGGTATACAGTTGCTGATCGTGGAAAGGAAAATGAGGGAAGAGCTACAAGCAAGGAAAGCTGTTTGGCATATCTGGGAGAAGATCTAAATCCTGAACTTATTGAGAGATAAACCTTTTCTCAGCTGGATTCAGGCCTCTGCAGAACAGTAGGCATCAGGTGGACTTGGCAATTTCCCTCTGGCTGTGTAAGACTGACTCTGTGATCTCCACAAATTTGAGAAATTTCACCATGTTTTCATTTTTTGAGGAAAACCTCTCCCCAGGTATATAGCTGACAGGTCTGATTATTTTGTGCTGAAATGTTTTGTGTTTCTCATTTGAAATGAGTATTTCTATTTATTCTGCACATTTTGTCTTTCGTTCTGGCCAATCAAATTTTCTCATTGCCTTTTCCCCACGGAGTTCATCACAGTGTTCTGGTTGGATTTTAGGCGTAAAATAAATTCTGAACCAAACTACTTTTTGTTGTTGTTGTTTGTTTGTTTGTTTTAAATGGCATTTATTGTGAGACCTAGGAAAGATGAAACTTTGGTTCCTGAATTACTTCTGAAAAAGTTCTATTATATGCATAGAATTGCTCTAACAGAAGACATTTTTGGATCCAGCAGGACTGAAATCTGACATAAATGAGAATATTTTCAAGATGATTGCTTGCAAACATAAGCATCAATTAGTTATCTCAGTCTGGTTATGCAGCAGCGTAGGCAGATGATGATTACAAGTAGTTGTGTTGCTGCCACTTACTGCTTTATCACCCCACACCAAAAATCCCTTTGGTTTTCCTAATGATCTCGGTCTTTTTCTTAGATCCCAGTCCAGGGAAGCATCTAAATCTACATTGATACAAACAACCCCAGATGCTGAAAGTAAAGTGGGTGTTTAACAGGCTTTTGAATTAAGCCCAAACAGGAGCAGCTTTTGTTTATCACATTCATTAGGAATGGCAGCCCCAGGGGCTGTAAGCTATAAACTACCATTAAAAAGGAGCTAGAAATCCCTTCCAATATGTACAGTCACTAGTAAAAAAAGAGCATCAAAACCACCAAAGAGCACCAAAAAACTAGCCAATCTAAGAATGCATATTTTTGTAAACCTCTAAAGTATAATTAAAGAAAACAATAGAATATTCACAAATTTTTGTACATACCCAACTCTCCAAAAGCACTTTAAAAAGAGACTTGTTAAAGCAGTTACAAGCAACCATTATGTTCACAAATGGGGAGGTTACTCTAAAAGTAAATGATCAAAAATATATAGAAGTATTAAGTTTAACGTTAACAACCACTAAAAATAAAGAAGAAATTAGTAAAGAGATATTAAGTCAAGTATTTCCTAGCGTATGGGCCTCTAATATACCAGAGAGAACAAAAAATGCCTCCCCTATAGTAATTAAGCTTAAGGAAGGGGCACAACCAATAAAAATTAAGCAATAACCCCTAAAAATTGAAGATATAGAAAGAATGAGACCAACAACTAAAAATTTTCTGGAGTTAAAGTTATTAAAAGAATGTCAATCTAATTTCAATACCCCCATTCTACCTGTTCAGAAACCCTGATGGGTCATACCAGATATTACAAGATTTGAGAGCTATAAATAAGATAACAAAAAACTTATATCCTGTAGTAGCAAATCCATATAGCCTACTGACTTGTTTAACACCTAAATTTACCTAGTTTACTGTTTTAAATCTAAAAAATGCCTTCTTTTAGTTCCCTATCCACAAAACCGGCCAAAAAAATTTTACATTCAAATAAGAAAGCCCTAAAAGTAAGCGTAAACCCCTAATCACATAGTCAGTGTTACCTCAAAGCTTAAAAAATTCCCCTACTCTATTTAAAGAACAACTTACAAAAAATCTAAAGTCTAGAAAACCCCACAAGAAAAAAAAAAAAGACTATTGCAATATCTAGACAATCTTCTAGTAACCACCAAGAGGAAAAAAGCATGTGTAACCTAGACAGTAAGCTTTTAAAATTTTTCTAAAGCTCCAAAGATAGAAAGTATCAGGAAAAAGAAGCACAAGTAGTAAAGCAAACAGTAACCTACCTAAAGTACAAAGTCAGTGCTGGGCAACGGACTTTACATCAAGCTCACAAAAAAACCAATATACCAGACCCCAAAACCTCAAACAATAAAAGAACTCAGAACCTTCCTAGACATGGCAGGGTGGTGCCGGCTATAAATTTATAATTATAAACTACTTATCAAACCTCTCTATGCTCTTATTACCAATAAAAACAGAGAACTCCAGTAAACAAAAGAAGCCATACGAGTCTTTCACCAACTAAAAAATACCCTCATGTCAGCTGCAGCTTTTAGACTTCCAGACATAAATAAACCATTCTTTCTATTTTCAAAAAAAAAAAAAAAAAAACAAAAAAATTACCCTAGAAATATTAGCTCAAGACTTAAGTCCCTACTGGAGGGCAGTTGCTTACTTTTCCAAGCAACTAAATACAACAACTAAGAATTAACCAGGTTGCCTCAGAGCTGTAGCAACAGTCCTGTTAAATATTCAAAAAGCATGCAAGTTTACCCTAAAACAAAAATTAACTATACTAGTGTCCCATACAGTACTAGAAGTAAAGGGCGGCCACTAGCTCTCACCACAAAAGTTCCTAAAATACCAAGTCCTCATAATAAAACAAAATAATATAAAAATAATAATAACCAACATTATCAACCCAGCTTCTTTTCTCAGTAAAAAAAAAAAAAAAAAGTACACCACAACTGCCTAGAAACTATTAAAGCTACTTACTCCAATCACTCAAACTTAAAAGACAGTCCTTTAAATAATACAGAGACCTGGTTCACTGATGGGAGCAGATACGTTACCAGTAAAAAATGACATGCTAAATATGCAGTCACTACCTACAAAGAAGTAATAAAATCTCGACCCTTACCAACAAACACCTCTGCACAAAAAGCTAAAATAATCACAATAACCCGTACCTTAAAAATAGCCAAAAAAAAAAATTTACACAAACTCAAAATATTTCATTAAATTTTACTCTGTTTCATCCCCCCTTTCTTATATATAAGTAAATTTTTTATTTAAAAAAGACTGTTGCAATATGTAGATGATCTTCTAGTAACCACTATTAAGTCTACGTTAAATCTCTTTCAGAAAAGACTTTAGAACCATAGTAAAAAAACACCATTCCAGATACTTCTCACCACCCTCGTTACAATCAAAATTAAGAAGCAAAATGCCTAGATCCACCACGCTCAAATAAAGCAGGCCCCAGAAGCCCCTTAGAAACTAACACCAAAAGACAATAAACTAAGACTAAAACTTTTTCTAGCAAAATGAGTGTATTTGGGGGGAGTGGGGGTGGGGGTGCAGTTTATAATTGTATTGATAAAATTGCTTTGTATATAATTATAATTAAAATCCTAAAATACCTCTATCCAAAACAATACTCAATAGCCTTAGTCCCAAGTTCTAATCAATATACTAAATCTGTAAGAGAGATAGCCACTGCAGCAAGTAAACTAGCAAATTTAAAACAACCCCTACAATTATCCCTAAAAGGCCAAGGTCCAAAATCACAAGTTAATAGTAAAAGCGTTTAGTATAGTTCAAAATAACATGTTTTATCTGCCACTTCACAATTCATCCAGTCACTGATCAGAAACTGTGCTTGTATATACTAATAAAAATTATATATGCTTGAGAACTCCTTATACTAGTAAAGAACTAGAACTCCTTATACATAGTAAAACATTAGGGAACACTTACTAATATAAAGATTTGCATTAAGTAAAAAAATTTACTTATCATCTTAAGGAAAAGGGGGAATGAGACAGAATAAAAATTTAACAGGGTAGAAATCCATTTAAATTTAAGTGAAATATGCTGCTTTGAGCTTGCTAAATATGCTGTTTAGTCTAGTAACTGCAGCACTAGCAAAACTACCCCAGCTAAAAAAAAAAAGGCAAATTTCCACACTAAAAAAATAAAAGATAAAAAAGACTCCTCAAACCTTAAAACAGACAAGGTAAAGTAACCCAAAAGTTCTTACTATAGTTTCTAACAAAAACTAAGTACAAGTATAACTATCTGTAAGTGTAATGTAAAATCAGCAAAATAAATATACATGAACCTATTGTAAAATTCTATACATATAGAAATTAATAAAGGTAATAAAAAAAATCGAGAGTTCTCAGGGGTGCACATGTCCATTAGAAAACAATAAGTCCCCACATGTGTCCACAGCTGTAAATAAACATACCGTTCCCTACAAATCTTTATTAAAATTATAAAGTTTAATTTTTCATCCACGTTTCAAAGGCAGGGGGGTTTAAACTATTACATGGTTTAGGGAAGCGCCAGATGTCCTTCTTGAAAAGCAAAACCAGTGAGAGGCTCTAAGTCAGAAATACAATTTATTAGGAAAAAGGGAACAAAGAACTAAATACATACAATAGCACAAAAGAAGAACCACTAACAGAGTTAGAGATACAACCTGACACTCACTGGCTAGGGTGGTGGTAGCAGATATGGTTCTGTCCAAGCAGTGCTCCTGCAGACTGATGGAGTTTCCCTCTGGAGGTCCAGTGCAGAGAAGGTCTCAGCTGTTCCTCTTGGAGGAGGGGATCTCCTTGCTGCCTGCACAACCCCGCTGATATCCTTGATGGCAGCGTTTGGCTCCTCCCTCTGGGCGGAGCATCTCACAATAGAATGTTGTGATCTTATCAGCCATGTGGCAAAAGAACAGCTCCTCATGGAGGGACTTATCTCTGAGTTACAAGATAAGGAAAGAAAGGGATTGCAGCTCGAGGTGGTAATGGAACGCACCCCAAAGGACACCAGAAACGCACAAACCTTGATGAACCAAAAGAGGTTTTTCACGAATCCTAGGACAGAACATTCACAGATCTGTGTGCCAGACCTTGGCTTGTTTCAGCCATGCTGGACATCTGCCCATCTCCAGGCCACCAATCCTGCTCTGCTCAAACCTCTTCCATGGCCTGGTTCTTTGAACCCTCCAGGAGGAGACTGACTTGGGTACTGGGAATTTCACTGCCAGGTTTTTTGCTCAGGCCTGGATTGCAGGGGTGAATCCGCTTGTATTGAGAACCATCTGCTCCTTTCCCATCATACTTATGGGTCCCTTCCAACTCAGAATATTGTGTAATCTGTGAACTCCCAGTCCAGCCCATGCAGCCAGGGGCAGGCGAGAGCCACAGCCCCTGCCCCGTCACAGACCTGCTAATCACACTTTTCTCAAGATTAATCAGAAGAAATCTGTTCCCTGCAAGCTGAGCTGAGTTTGGGAGCAACTGTCACTGCCTCCTCATGCCACGCTGTGCCAAGATGGTCTTGTGACACTGCTGGGTCCCTGACCATGGCTCAGCCTCCTCAAGGCAGCAGAGGGACATTAGCTGTGCCTCATTAGCACAGTGGTGGCTTGGGCTGCAGCCCCACAGGGACATTCCAAAGAGGTTTCATAG